AAGGAGGAAAAATATAACAGGTACTCAAAAGGCCGGAATGAACCAGTGTTCCCCCTGTATAACGAACTATCCTTCATGGAGAAGGCGAGGATGGAGGATTCAAGGTGGGAGGATTTGCCACACACTCACATACACTAGGATAGCCACATGAATACCCCCGTGTATGTAAGTTAATAAACCCCCCCACTGGTGGAGCCGGGGGGGGGGGACGCAAGAAGACGCAATAAGCGGGAAATAAGTACAGCAGCCGGTGCGTCTTGGGAGAGGGGGGGAAGGGGGGGTGGTTCTGAGAGCGCGCGGTGCCGGCCGCCCGGGCGGGAAAATTATTAGCAACGATTCTTGAGTAAATATACGTCATTCCACGCTGCTAACAGTCAGTCGCTTGGCGACTTCCCGGAAGCTCTCCGTCTCATGATTTACTGACCCTCAGTTTTGTCCGTCCTCGCAACTCATAACGAGTAAACCCGGGTGGTACAGAAATCCTGTTTTGTGTGTGTGTGTGTGTGTGTGTGTGTGTGTGTGTGTGTGTGTGTGTGTGTGTGTGTGTGTGTGTGTGTGTGTGTGTGTGTGTGTGTGTGTGTGTAGGATCATACACATCCCTTCAGAGAATGGTGTGAGAATGGGCAACAGAGTACAGGACAGGGGTAACAGAGTACAGGACAGGGGCAACAGAGTACAGGACAGGGGCAACAGAGTACAGGACAGGGGCAACAGAGTACAGGGCAGGAGCAACAGAGTACAGGACAGGGGCAACAGAGTACAGGACAGGGGCAACAGAGTACAGGACAGGGGCAACAGAGTACAGGACAGGGGCAACAGAGTACAGGACAGGGGCAACAGAGTACAGGACAGGGGCAACAGAGTACAGGGCAGGAGCAAAAGAGTACAGGACAGGGGCAACAGAGTACAGGACAGGAGCAACAGAGTACAGGACAGGAGCAACAGAGTACAGGACAGGAGCAACAGAGTACAGGACAGGGGCAACAGAGTACAGGACAGGGCAACAGAGTACAGGACAGGAGCAACAGAGTACAGGACAGGGGCAACAGAGTACAGGACAGGCGCAACAGAGTACAGGACAGGGGATAGAGTACAGGACAGGAGCAACAGAGTACAGGACAGGGGCAACAGAGTACAGGACAGGGGCAACAGAGTACAGGACAGGGGCAACAGAGTACAGGACAGGAGCAACAGAGTACAGGACAGGGGCAACAGAGTACAGGACAGGGGCAACAGAGTACAGGACAGGGGCAACAGAGTACAGGACAGGCGCAACAGAGTCATGACAGGGGCAACAGAGTACAGGACAGGGGCAACAGAGTACAGGACAGGGGCAACAGAGTACAGGACAGGGGCAACAGAGTACAGGACAGGGGCAACAGAGTCATGACAGGGGCAACAGAGTACAGGACAGGGGCAATAGAGTACAGGACAGGGGCAACAGAGTACAGGACAGGGGCAAGAGAGTACAGGACAGGAGCAACAGAGTACAGGACAGGGGCAACAGAGTACAGGACAGGGGCAACAGAGTACAGGACAGGGGCAACAGAGTACAGGACAGGCGCAACAGAGTCATGACAGGGGCAACAGAGTACAGGACAGGGGCAACAGAGTCATGACAGGGGCAACAGAGTACAGGACAGGGGCAACAGAGTACAGGACAGGGGCAACAGAGTCATGACAGGGGCAACAGAGTACAGGACAGGGGCAACAGAGTACAGGACAGGGGCAACAGAGTACAGGACAGGGGCAAGAGAGTACAGGACAGGAGCAACAGAGTACAGGACAGGGGCAACAGAGTACAGGACAGGGGCAACAGAGTACAGGACAGGGGCAACAGAGTACAGGACAGGCGCAACAGAGTCATGACAGGGGCAACAGAGTACAGGACAGGGGCAACAGAGTACAGGACAGGAGCAACAGAGTACAGGACACAACAGAGTCCACCATCAGTTCATCAACTCTACTCTTAATTGCTTTTACTGTCAGTACCTCAGGCTCTTCTCAAACACAACAAGGAGGGAGAGAGGGACTGATATAGGTACTGAGGGCTGGATATAGGAAGAGGCAAGTTATTATATATATATAAGAGGGGTACCTGGTGCAATTGTAGGGACCCATAGCCTCGGAGAAAAGAATAAAGAGTATTCAGAGAAGACCTTGTGGCTTCTCACTGAACACTTTAATATTTTGTTTTCCTACCACCCTTCCTTTTTATTATTTATACAATATGATTTATATATATATATATATATATATATATATATATATATATATATATATATATATGAGAGGGAGAAAGGGGGAGTGAGAGAGAGAGAGAGAGAGAGAGAGGAGAGAGAGAGAGAGAGAGAGAGAGAGAGAGAGAGAGAGAGAGAGAGAGAGAGAGAGAGAGAGAGAGAGAGAGAGAGAGAGAGAGAGAGAGAAAAAGAGAGGAAAATATAAGAAACAGGAAGTGTTGAAAGATAAACATAAGTGGGGGGGGGAGAGAGGAAAGCATATAAATTCAATAATAATAATAATAATAATAATAATAATAATAATAATAATAATAATTAACTTGTAGAATAAGTTCCATCTACAATTACCTGACCACCGGAGCTGACCCGTGACGACCATCGTGGCTTTAATATCATTTGCTTTATTAAAACGAAATTAATTAAAATATCAGAATACGTGCAGGAATTAATCATTTATTTGTTGGGAATGATTTGGAATTTTTGGTTTAAATATTTTATATATATACTCGGAATTAAACACACAAATAGTTATATATTTTATGTGTTTGTGGGGGGTAGAGGGTAGGGGGTGGGGGTGGGGAGGGGGGGGGGTAGGGGGTAGGGGGTAGGGTGGGGGTGGGGAGGGGGTAGGGGGGTAGGGGGTAGAGGGGGTGGGGAGGGGGTAGGGGGTAGGGTGGGGATGGGGAGGGGGTAGGAATGAGCATACCAGACAAATTAATTTCCCCTAAAAACCCCCACACTGTTCAGTTCATTCCAAATATCTATTAGCTACTGAATATATTAATGATCTAATTCGTTTAAATCATATCAGTTAATAAATATATTTTAAATTAAACACAATTTATTTCGCTTTGTAGAGCTTGAATAACTGGCTAATCATATTTAATTTAAATGACTGAGTTAAACGTGCTCCAAATTTAATATTTTTTAATGACAAGAGTAATACATTTATTTATTGTAATGATAACTTACACCGTCACAGACAAGCACTCCACACCGTGTTCCACCGTCACAGACAAGCACTCCACACCATGTTCCACCCTCACAGACAAGCACTCCACACCGTGTTCCACCCTCACAGACAAGCACACCAGACCGTGTTCCACCCACACAGACAAGCACTCCACACCGTGTTCCACCCTCACAGACAAGCACACCACACCGTGTTCCACCCTCACAGACAAGCACACCACACCGTGTTCCACCCACACAGACAAGCACTCCACACCGTGTTCCACCCTCACAGACAAGCACTCCACACCGTGTTCCACCCTCACAGACAAGCACTCCACACCGTGTTCCACCCTCACAGACAAGCACTCCACACCGTGTTCCACCGTCACAGACAAGCACTCCACACCATGTTCCACCCTCACAGACAAGCACTCCACACCGTGTTCCACCCTCACAGACAAGCACTCCACACCGTGTTCCACCGTCACAGACAAGCACTCCACACCGTGTTCCACCCTCACAGACAAGCACTCCACACCGTGTTCCACCCTCACAGACAAGCACACCACACCGTGTTCCACCCTCACAGACAAGCACTCCACACCGTGTTCCACCCTCACAGACAAGCACTCCACACCGTGTTCCACCGTCACAGACAAGCACTCCACACCGTGTTCCACCCTCACAGACAAGCACACCACACCGTGTTCCACCCTCACAGACAAGCACTCCACACCGTGTTCCACCCTCACAGACAAGCACTCCACACCATGTTCCACCCTCACAGAAAAGCACTCCACACCATGTTCCACCCTCACAGACAAGCACTCCACACCGTGTTCCACCGTCACAGACAAGCACTCCACACCGTGTTCCACCCTCACAGACAAGCACTCCACACCATGTTCCACCGTCACAGACAAGCACTCCACACCATGTTCCACCCTCACAGACAAGCACTCCACACCGTGTTCCACCGTCACAGACAAGCACTCCACACCATGTTCCACCGTCACAGACAAGCACTCCACACCATGTTCCACCGTCACAGACAAGCACACCACACCGTGTTCCACCCTCACAGACAAGCACACCACACCATGTTCCACCGTCACAGACAAGCACTCCACACCGTGTTCCACCCTCACAGACAAGCACTCCACACCGTGTTCCACCCTCACAGACAAGCACTCCACACCATGTTCCACCGTCACAGACAAGCACTCCACACCATGTTCCACCCTCACAGACAAGCACTCCACACCGTGTTCCACCCTCACAGACAAGCACACACCACACCGTGTTCCACCCTCACAGACAAGCACTCCACACCGTGTTCCACCCTCACAGACAAACACTCCACACCGTGTTCCACCCTCACAGACAAGCACTCCACACCATGTTCCACCCTCACAGACAAGCACTCCACACCGTGTTCCACCCTCACAGACAAACACTCCACACCGTGTTCCACCCTCACAGACAAGCACTCCACACCATGTTCCACCCTCACAGACAAGCACTCCACACCGTGTTCCACCCTCACAGACAAACACTCCACACCATGTTCCACCCTCACAGACAAGCACACCACACCATGTTCCACCCTCACAGACAAGCACTCCACACCGTGTTCCACCCTCACAGACAAGCACTCCACACCGTGTTCCACCGTCACAGACAAGCACTCCACACCACCAACCAACCACCATCACACACAAGAGCACTACGCTTCTCCCATTCGACACCAACAACCCCCCAACGAAACTAACCAAGACCGGAACATCGCCATGTGATCCGCAGTAGACGACGACACCTGAGTATTACCAGATGCAAGTATTCCAAGACTCCCAGACGAGACGTTTGGTCGACGACAGATTTGGTCGACGACAGACCTGGTACGACGAGCCAGAATATACCCAGCAGGAGTGGCCCGCGACGACCGCACAAGCAGGAAGACACCTGGATAAGCAGACAAACAGGTGTGTGTGTAGGTAGACAGCTGGAGAGGCAGACAAGCAGGTATGCAGGAAGACAACAGGATGGGACAAAAAAAAACGTAGTAAGCAGGCAAGCAATGGGTCGGAATACAAGCTCATAATCTGGCAGACATGCAGGTAAGCAGACAGCTGAGCAGCGAGACAGGCAGGCTGGCAGGTTGCAATCTTCCAGGAACCTGTTCATATTCCCACACCATCCCTTGCATTCATTACGCTCAGAGAGAGAGAGAGAGAGAGAGAGAGAGAGAGAGAGAGAGAGAGAGAGAGAGAGAGAGAGAGAGAGAGAGAGAGAGAGAGAGAGAGCGCATGTATACCTGCTAGATTGCTTGATTACCTCCCTCAGTGCCATAAGCCACCACCAGGTGGTCATTAGCCTACCAACAGAGCAGGATACGCCTTAGCATTCTTTCAGCTCGAACGACCAATTTTACGCATGTTGTAAAATCAGCGATTACATCAGTATTACGCTCCGGGGTCACATCCATTCATAATTTAGGCATCAATAAAGTGGTCTGGAGAAGATAAGATCACAAAGACCATTCTTATCCTCCCTCACCCAGCAACAAGTTAGCCTTGATAGCAGGTCTATTTACGTATATATATATTTACATATATATATATATATATATATATATATATATATATATATATATATATATATATATATATATGTGTGTGTGTGTGTGTGTGTGTGTGTGTGTGTGTGTGTGTGTGTGTGTGTGTGTGTGTGTGTGTGTGTGTGTGTGTGTGTGTGTGTGTGTGCAGGATCATACATATCCCTTCAGAGGATGGTGTGTGATGGTGTGTAGGCTCCAGCAGTTTACTGAAGAAGAATCAGGATAGCAAGAGCACAGACTGAGGATAACAAGAATGCATCCTCTTGTCCAAAGGTCAAAGTGCCCATAGAATATAGAATACTGTATACAAAAATTACAATGCTGCATCCAAAAATGTATTTTCTTAACGCCTGACTTTGTAAAGATTCCGATACAGACGGCCACAACCAAACTTTAACTTTGTCTGGGTTAAGTATACTGCATATGGTTATCTTGAGATTATCTTGAGTTTATATATATGAGATTATCTATATGTTTAATAAATTTGTCCAACAACTGCCTACATTAGGTCTAGGTTTGTTTGCTGTCTCTCTTCCAGAAGAGTTTGCAAGTTTCGCATGTTTTCAAGTGCTTGCAGAGCAGACTTTGAATCCCAGAAAATGACTCGTGCTCCTATGCGGCAGCTAGTTGTAGAGCTCAGCTAGTTCTCTTAGTGTAGAGCTCAGCTAGTTCTCTTAGTGTAGAGCTCAGCTAGTTCTCTTAGTGTAGAGCTCAGCTAGTTCTCTTAGTGTAGAGCTCAGCTAGTTCTCTTAGTGTAGAGCTCAGCTAGTTCTCTTAGTGTAGAGCTCAGCTAGTTCTCTTAGTGTAGAGCTCAGCTAGTTCTCTTAGTGTAGAGCTCAGCTAGTTCTCTTAGTGTAGAGCTCAGCTAGTTCTCTTAGTGTAGAGCTTAGCTAGTTCTCTTAGTGTAGAGCTCAGCTAGTTCTCTTAGTGTAGAGCTTAGCTAGTTCTCTTAGTGTAGAGCTTAGCTAGTTCTCTTAGTGTAGAGCTCAGCTAGTTCTCTTAGTGTAGAGCTCAGCTAGTTCTCTTAGTGTAGAGCTCAGCTAGTTCTCTTAGTGTAGAGCTTAGCTAGTTCTCTTAGTGTAGAGCTTAGCTAGTTCTCTTAGTGTAGAGCTTAGCTAGTTCTCTTAGTGTAGAGCTCAGCTAGTTCTCTTAGTGTAGAGCTCAGCTAGTTCTCTTAGTGTAGAGCTCAGCTAGTTCTCTTAGTGTAGAGCTTAGCTAGTTCTCTTAGTGTAGAGCTCAGCTAGTTCTCTTAGTGTAGAGCTTAGCTAGTTCTCTTAGTGTAGAGCTTAGCTAGTTCTCTTAGTGTAGAGCTCAGCTAGTTCTCTTAGTGTAGAGCTCAGCTAGTTCTCTTAGTGTAGAGCTCAGCTAGTTCTCTTAGTGTAGAGCTTAGCTAGTTCTCTTAGTGTAGAGCTTAGCTAGTTCTCTTAGTGTAGAGCTCAGCTAGTTCTCTTAGTGTAGAGCTCAGCTAGTTCTCTTAGTGTAGAGCTCAGCTAGTTCTCTTAGTGTAGAGCTCAGCTAGTTCTCTTAGTGTAGAGCTCAGCTAGTTCTCTTAGTGTAGAGCTCAGCTAGTTCTCTTAGTGTAGAGCTCAGCTAGTTCTCTTAGTGTAGAGCTCAGCTAGTTCTCTTAGTGTAGAGCTCAGCTAGTTCTCTTAGTGTAGAGCTCAGCTAGTTCTCTTAGTGTAGAGCTCAGCTAGTTCTCTTAGTGTAGAGCTCAGCTAGTTCTCTTAGTGTAGAGCTCAGCTAGTTCTCTTAGTGTAGAGCTCAGCTAGTTCTCTTAGTGTAGAGCTCAGCTAGTTCTCTTAGTGTAGAGCTCAGCTAGTTCTCTTAGTGTAGAGCTCAGCTAGTTCTCTTAGTGTAGAGCTCAGCTAGTTCTCTTAGTGTAGAGCTTAGCTAGTTCTCTTAGTGTAGAGCTCAGCTAGTTCTCTTAGTGTAGAGCTCAGCTAGTTCTCTTAGTGTAGAGCTCAGCTAGTTCTCTTAGTGTAGAGCTCAGCTAGTTCTCTTAGTGTAGAGCTCAGCTAGTTCTCTTAGTGTAGAGCTCAGCTAGTTCTCTTAGTGTAGAGCTCAGCTAGTTCTCTTAGTGTAGAGCTTAGCTAGTTCTCTTAGTGTAGAGCTCAGCTAGTTCTCTTAGTGTAGAGCTCAGCTAGTTCTCTTAGTGTAGAGCTTAGCTAGTTCTCTTAGTGTAGAGCTCAGCTAGTTCTCTTAGTGTAGAGCTCAGCTAGTTCTCTTAGTGTAGAGCTTAGCTAGTTGTTTAACCTGACACTGATAGTCTGTATATAAGAATTATTTACGCTGCTGCTACAGACTGCTGCAGTCCGTCCTGTTGACGTGTGGACAGAGCCACCAGTGTAAACACAGTCCTCGCCAGACTTTAGTTTATTGATAGAGGAGAGAATCATTCCCAGTGTGACTCCTGTAAGAAGAGAAAGAGTTCACAAAGCAGCTCACCAACACTGACCCCTCTCACCTCTCCCACTCTCTTATCTCTCCTACCCTCTCAGCTCCACTCCTCTGCAACTCTCTCAGAACCCCCATCTCTCCCATTCTTTCAACCCCCTTATCCCTCCCACTCACTCAGCCCTTCCCCTCTCCTACCCTCTCAGCCCCATTTCTCTCCCACTATCTCAATCCCCCCCCCTTCTATCCCACTCAGTCCCTCAGCTATCTCTCTCACTCAGTCCCTCTCCCGCTCTCTTAAGTCTCTCACCTCCTACCCCCACTCCTGAAGCCCCCACACCACCTACCCCCACTCCTGAAGCCCCCTCACCTTCTACCCCCACTCCTGAAGCCCCCTCACCTTCTACCCCCACTCCTGAAGCCCTCCACGTCCTACCCCCACTCCTGAAGCCCCCCACCACCTATCCCCACTCCTGAAGCCCCCTCACCTTCTACCCCCACTCCTGAAGCCCTCCACGTCCTACCCCCACTCCTGAAGCCCTCCACGTCCTACTCCCACTCCTGAAGCCCCCCACCACCTATCCCCACTCCTGAAGCCCCCTCACCTTCTACCCCCACTCCTGAAGCCCTCCACGTCCTACCCCCACTCCTGAAGCCCTTCACGTCCTACCCCCACTCCTGAAGCCCCCCACCACCTATCCCCACTCCTGAAGCCCCCTCACCTTCTACCCCCACTCCTGAAGCCCTCCACGTCCTACCCCCACTCCTGAAGCCCTCCACGTCCTACCCCCACTCCTGAAGCCCCCCACCACCTATCCCCACTCCTGAAGCCCCCTCACCTTCTACCCCCACTCCTGAAGCCCTCCACGTCCTACCCCCACTCCTGAAGCCCCTCACCTTCTACCCCCACTCCTGAAGCCCTCCACGTCCTATCCCCACTCCTGAAGCCCCCCACCACCTATCCCCACTCCTGAAGCCCCCTCACCTTCTACCCCCACTCCTGAAGCCCTCCACGTCCTACCCCCACTCCTGAAGCCCCCCACCACCTATCCCCACTCCTGAAGCCCCCTCACCTTCTACCCCCACTCCTGAAGCCCTCCACGTCCTACCCCCACTCCTGAAGCCCTCCACGTCCTACCCCCACTCCTGAAGCCCCCCACCACCTATCCCCACTCCTGAAGCCCCCTCACCTTCTACCCCCACTCCTGAAGCCCTCCACGTCCTACCCCCACTCCTGAAGCCCCTCACCTTCTATCCCCACTCCTGAAGCCCTCCACGTCCTATCCCCACTCCTGAAGCCCCCCACCACCTATCCCCACTCCTGAAGCCCCCTCACCTTCTACCCCCACTCCTGAAGCCCTCCACGTCCTACCCCCACTCCTGAAGCCCCCCACCACCTATCCCCACTCCTGAAGCCCCCTCACCTTCTACCCCCACTCCTGAAGCCCTCCACGTCCTACCCCCACTCCTGAAGCCCCTCACCTTCTACCCCCACTCCTGAAACCCCCCACCACCTACCCCAACTCCTGAAGCCCCTCACCTTCTACCCCCACTCCTGAAGCCCTCCACGTCCTACCCCCACTCCTGAAGCCCCCCACCACCTACCCCAACTCTCACCCTTGGTAGAACACACAATTTAATTGCTTATAATGTTGGGTTCACTGCCTCACTCCGTGCATCGTGCCTTGAACCATAACAAAAACAGGACCAGTGGAGCGGGTTGACTCTGGTGAAGATGCGCCCGACGTACCATAAATACAAATTCGTTGCCATGGTGCTCCTGGTGAGTGAATAC